TTGAGGGTGGAACCCCGTTTGACAATGTTTTGGTCCTCACAATTCTATTTTCACTTATTTTTTTAGTTTTCGGCTTAAATATTCTACTAAGTATACATTTGTTGCCCAATAAATCATAAAACGGCTTCCAAACACCTTATATAGTTTTCCTTAATGCTCGCGGAAAATATTTCGCAAAAATAAAAATTTTCATTTTTGACCAAAAAAACGAGGGTTAACACTTACGGCTTTTAGTCACTTTTGCAAATTCGCACATAAGTCACCGTTCAATCAATTTATTTTCATCTTTGCCTAAATGTGAAGTTTTGAAAATTAAGTTGAGACTTTCCATTGAGATTCTTGAGGGTAGGACACCATTTGACAATGTTTTGGTACTCACTATAGTATTTTTCACTTCTTTCAGTTTTTGGTTTAAATATTCTACTAAGTATACATTTGTTGCTCAATAAATCATAAACCCGCTTCCAAACACCTTATAAAGTTTTTCTTAAAACTCGTGGAAAATATTTCACACAAAAAAAAAAAAAAAAATCATTTTTGACCAAAAAAACGTGGGTTACACTCCCAGTTTTTAGTTAGTTTTTACAAATTTGTACATAAATCGTTGTTCAAATTATTTCTTTTCAACTTCGCCTCACCGTGATGTTTGAAAATTATAGTAATACTTTCCGTTATATTCTTGAGGGTGCAACCCAATTTTGACAATATTTTGGGCTTTCGACTTAAATAACAAAAGTCAACACTTTGTCTCAAAGGGTATTTTCGTAAATTTGCCTTTTTAAAATTATAAAAATCATAATAATTGGGGACGGATCGTTACATTCTTGAGGGTGGAACTTGTTTTTCACAATATTTTAGGCCACATTATTATATCTTTCACTTACTTTTTAAGTTTTGAACTTAAATATTCTACTAAATACACATTCTATTGCTCAATAAATCGTAAAACCGCTTCCAAATGCCTTATAAAGTTTTCCTTAATGCTCGTAGAAAGTATTTTGTGAAAATAAAAAAATTTGTTTTTTTTCACAAAAACACGTGGCACTCACGGTTTTTAGTTGGTTTTAAAAAGTTTGTAGTTAAATCATCGTTCAATCTATTATTTTCAACTTCACCTCCTCATGAAGCTTTGAAAATTAATCTAAGACTTTACGTTGGTATTCTTGAGGGTGGAACCCGATTTGACGTTGCTTTGGGCCTCACTACTATATTTTTCACTTATATTTTTAGTTTTTGGCTAAATATTCTACTAAATATACATTTGTTGCTTAATAAATCATAAAATCGCTTCCAAATGCCTTATAAACTTTTCCTTAATGCTCACAGAAAATATATCAAGAAAATAAAAAATTTGTATTTTTCACAAAAAACGCGGGTTAACACTCACGATTTTCAATTTGTTTTGCAAACTAATGTAAGACTTTCCGTTGGTATTCTTGAGGGGGGGGACCCGTTTTTCACAATATTTTAGACCCTACTACAATATTTTTCATTTCCTTTTTTAGCTTTCGGCTTAAATATTCTACTAAATATACATTTGTTACTCAATAAATCGTAAAACCACTTCCAAATGCGTTATATTGTTTTCCTCGATGCTCACAGAAAATATTTCACGAAAATAACAAAATTTACATTTTTTCACAAAAAACGTGGGTTTACACTCATGGTTTTTCAGTCTCTTTTGCAAATTCGTACATAAATCATCGTTTAACTTATTTATTTTCACCTTCGCCTCACCGTGAAGTTTTGAAAATTGATGTAAGACTTTTCTTTGGTATTCTTGAGGGTGGAACTTGTTGTTCACAATATTTTAGGCCACATTATTATATTTTTCACTTACTTTTAAGTTTTGGACGTAAATATTCTACTAAATACATATTCTATTGATCAATAAATCGTAAAACCGCTTCCAAATGCTATATAAAGTTTATCTTAATGCTTGTAGAAAGTTTTTTGCGAAAATAAAAAATTTTCTTTTTTCACAAAAAGATGTGGGTTAACACTCACGATTTTTAGTTGGTTTTAAAAAGTTCGTAGTTAAATCATCGTTCAATCTATTATTTTTAGTTCTGCCTCCTCGTGAAGCTTTGAAAATTAATCTTAAGACTTTACGTTGGTATTCTTGAGGGTGGAACCCGATTTGACGTTGCTTTGGGCCTCACTACTATATTTTTCACTTATTTTTTTAGTTTTCGACTAAATGTTCTACTAAATATACATTTGTTGCTCAATAAATCGTAAAATCGCTTCCAAATGCCTTTTAAAGTTTTCCTTAATGCTCACAGAAAATATTTCAAGAAAATAAAAACTTTGCATTTTTCACAAAAAAACGTGGGTTAACATTCACGGTTTTTAGTTTATTTTGCAAACTAATGGGAGACTTTCTGTTGGTATTCATGAGGGTGGAACCCGTTTTTCATAATATTTTATGCCTCACTACTATATTTTTCACTTACTTTTTAAGTTTTTGGCTTAAATAGTCTACTAATATACATTTGTTGCTTAATAAACCGTAAAACCACTTCCAAATGCCTTATAAAATTTCCTTAATGCTCACGGAAAATATTTAACAAAAACAAAAAATTTGCATTTTTGACAAAAAACATGGGTTAAAACTCACGGTCGTGCAACCTGGTGGCGCATATGCCATTTTCCTGTCTCTTTGCGGGAGTGTCCTTCAAGGGGACGGCGTCGCTGGCTTCGCCTTCGGCGAAGAAGAAAAGGTTAATGAGTAGGTAGCCTTCGTTTTCGACCTCAACACAAGGGTAAGTACTATTTCCTTATTAAACTTTTTCCTTTCATGACTGAATCTTCTTCTTGCTAACATGCTTGTTATCCTTTCATCTTTTTGACATGCCTTGTTCGTGCACTACTAAGCACTCATGTGGTTCTTTAAGGAGATGAAGCAGAGCACCAGTCACGAGCAAGCCTTTGGCGTAGATGAAGAAGGCCTTGAAGGCTAAGGAGCGTGAGCTTGGGTCGTCAAGCCAAGCGGATGAGGCTACCAATTAGGACAACGCTCAGCTAAAGTGGATTGAATAACTTGGGAAGAAGCTGAGTGAGGCTGCCTCCAGCAAACTCCAAGTTGTTTTTGAGTTAGGAGAGGCCAAAAATGCCATTTAGGCCCTTCGCTGCCGAGGGGAAAGGGGGGCGATGAAAATGACACCATGTCTACCAGCAATTTGGACATGGATGATTTTTTGGCACTCCTGAGGTCGTCAACTTCTCCACCTGCCTTCGCCTCCAACTACATGAAGTTTTATAAGAAGTTGAAGGTGGCTCACCTCGTCTATGATCTGGATATCGGGTGTGACAAAAAGGAGAATGAGGGCTCCAAGCAGACGGAGCTGAGGATAAGGTTCTTGTGGTACAGGAGCCCGCCACCATAAACCTTGCCGCTTTGCAAGTTTGCAACTCTCCGAGCTTACTGCCGAGCTTGGCCTTGAGCCCGCCAACGCCCATCCAGCCGACCCCGAGGTCAACCCTTAAAAGCACGATGCCCTAGCCGCCTATAACTTACCAGACTAGTCCCTCTTATTTAAGCCACCAGTGTTGTTTTCCTTTTAATTTTTCAAGTTGCAGACCAATTTTTTCACTTGGGGTGGTAATAATTTCTTATTTGGACAATGCCTTATAAGTCGTTATGTTTATCATATGAAGTATGTCTTTTATTTCTTAACGTGGTGTGGTTGCTCGACGAAATATGGATTAATTTTAACATGACACTGATAAGTAAGAAAACATGGGTTCTTTTATCAAGAAAAACTTGCTTGAGTTAAAAGAAGAATGTTATTGATCCTGGGGCAATCTGCTTGAACTAGTCTCACGCCTCCACTAAAGGTGGTCAGGAAAAGATGACACTTAGTGGCGTCGCTATTTTCCCGACCTTCCACGACATAGATGAAGCCGTTTAGGTGGTCGTACGGATTGGTAAGTCCTTCATAACTTTGCATCTTGAAAGCCCGAGTGTCACCGCTTATTGGTTCATCGAGTAAGGCTTCAAAGCACGGGAATGCAACTTCCCCTTCTGAGTAGTCTGGATTCTTGGGTCTGGAGGCCTTTTCTATACCCCCCCAACCGGTCCTAAACGTTCTTCATTTCGTCGCCCATCACATCTCAAAGTGTGAACCGTAAGACGGGGCGGCTCTAGGGTTCTCGTTTGAGTTATGGATGGCTGGCTCGGCAGTTTACGCCTCATTTTCCCAAGCGTCTTCCTTGGTTTATGACTTCGCGAGCATCCTCACCCCTACTTCCAACGTCTAAAGAGAGGTGATGACCCACATGAGTTGGGTCGCACGGGTGGTCCACTATCGAGAGTTGTTTTCTATCCTCTCGTTGGTCTGGGTGATCTGCTCCAAGAGTTCGGCATGCTTCTCCTAAGAGAGACTGTTCTGGGCATGAAGGAGGTTTCCCACCTCATTCATTTCCCCCATGCCAGCTAATATGTTCTCCATCTTCTCCCACAAACTAGCTAGCATGGCCTTTTCTACTCTCCTTCCTCGCTTACTAGCCCCTTATAGGCCATTGGATAGGGTTTTTTCCTTCATCATTCTACTTGTCGTGTTTCTCTGCGAGTGTGTCTGACGGTTCGCCAATGGGCGTTCTTAGAACTACTTGGTAAAAAACTCAACCAAATTACGTTGAAGGGACTGGAACTTCAAATATCAATCCCTTGACCTCTTAATTAATTAAGTTGCCAAGATAAGAAATGCACCACCAAACAAATCAACAGACCAAAATTGGATTTGAAATTGGTTTCACAATGGAGCAAATAAAATTATGAAATGAAATTATACAACACAAATGCCATACCTAAATTGGTACAAGTTGATTTTTTCAAATGAAAACTAATGAAAATGGTTTGAAAATTTTGATTTTTAACGATAAGGATAAAAAAAAGGTAAAATGAATAGTACCAAGATTGACTTTTTAATGTAAAAATGTGATTTTTCATTAAAGCAAACAGTACCGAGAGTTTTTTTTGTTAAAGTTCTCTTTTTTCAAAGCTGCCGACCAGCGGCATCAGCAACGAAGGGCAGGTACGAAGTCCGACCCAAAATACAGCTAACCAAACCATAAACGGAGTAAAAAGACGCTGACGAAAATACCATTATGCCCCCATACCATGAGCTTGTACCCTAACCCGGACTGAAAATCCTCTGGACGAGCAACGGCAGCACCAACACCACGTCCAGTATCACCGCCTATATCGCATTGAACTGCACATAATGGTTGAAGTTTGGGTTTTTAACGATGCCTAAGTAAAGGGCGAAGAAGGCCATGAAGTTCGACTAAGGGTCAACAACAAGATCAAGGGTTCCAAGAGGAGACCCAATTTGGTAAATTGCACAAACAAGTAGCGATCGTACTAGAGGGAGTTGAAGAAAGGAAAGGTGTAAGCGACGGCAGAGATCAACCGATCTGTGGCGGGGGTTGGGTTTGGATTTTTGGTTGACAAATTGAGGAAAGGAGAGTGACCAGGCGTACAGGGTTAAGGGGAAGGCGCGCCAGCAGAAGGAATGTAAGATTTGGGGATTAAGGTTTTAGGGGTGGTGGAGAGGTGGAGGAGATAGGCCATAACCACTAGTTGCAAGGTTTGAGTTGCGAGTTGCTTTGTGTCGTGTGTTACAGAGTGAGAGAGTGAAAGAAAGATTGAGCAATGGGCTTGGATATTTTAATAGTCACTTTATTGGGCCAGTAATTGAGGCCCAAGTTGAGCCCAAGATTCACTAATTCAACAGAGACCAGATTAATTAAGGCCCAACTTATATAGAAAGAATTTACTGCCATCATGGAATCCCGGTCTAATCATAAAAAAAAACTTATACATAGCAATGTATTATTAGACCGAAACGCCACATAGTGGTGACCTGCTTTATGTAAGTCATTCTCTTCTAGTAGAGATGAGCCCAACGAACACAATGTGGTACAATAATGTTGACTCCTATAATACTAAATTTTAATGCCATAAACTGCCAAATAGGCGACCGCAAGCCAACAATGATCCCCGCTTTGCAAGGTGGGTGGGGGGCGTCTACTGTAGCCAGCCTTACCCTTACTTTGCAAACACAAAATTCATGCCATAAACTGCTATGTTACAAAATTTTCAGACTTGAAGCTACAAAATGTACGGACATAAAGAAATAATATGCAAAACAAAGGAAGGGAAAATGCAAACATATCATGCCTGCTGTAAGAACTAAAAGAACTAAAAACCTCAACATATATTATCACAAAAGAAACTCAATACACAACTCATGCCATTGTATCTATAATATGTAAACTTAAAATGATATAACAATTGACATAAATTTCAAGAAAACTAGTCACCCAAAACCAACCACCCGATCCCATCCCTCCCTGTCTCACCCTACTAAATGTATAGATCCTTTAAACTTCATTTTCTCTTCCATACTCTCTCTCGTCTTTACCAAAATTGTTCTAATTTTCCCCACAAAGACACAAGTTTCAGGCCAACATGTACATACATACAGCATAGCAAGCAACCAAGCACACATACATAAAGCTTAGGACCTGCCAAACTAGAACCTTTGACATCCACTTCAGAGAAAAGAAGACCCAACAAGAGCTTATAAAGTCCCCCAAGTTGATTGAGTTAACTTCAATCATATCTCTGCCTGCACAACCTATGAATCGGCCCTCAGCTCACTTTTCCGACCAACTCGATACCCAAGATTCAGTGATTCATTCTGCACAGTTTTTATTCAACAACTTTAGCACCAGCTCAATTAGACACAAAAAAATTTACTTGAAAGCAGTACTAAGAAAACATCGACCTGCGTGATAATTAGTGACATTACATAATCCATAAAAGCAAGAATCAAGCCATAAATTTAGACGCATCCACTCAGAACTATCACATGCTCTATATGATAATCTCGTCTACCAACAGTTGACACGGTAAGAGAAGAATGATATTTCTTAAACAACACAAAATATCAGCATAGAGAAGTTCAATTGAAGAATAAATAGAATAGTATGGGTAAGTACTAATCCGGACAAAGATCGAAGTGCCTCAACCAATTGATACTGCTTGGGTTCGCAATAATGAATCCTTGCAATTGAAGACTAGTTGAAAATCTTAAAAGGAAACCAAGATAACATCACCAGACAGAAAAAACAGAATTATATAAAAAATAAAAAAATAAAACACTTGAAATTTTAAAAGAAGAGTATATTCATGTAACGTATCGGCTCCCAAGAAATTTGTCTCGATAAAAATTCCTGTAATGTTAGTTTTCTGTCGCACAAAGATAAGTATACAATTGAAAATAATTAAACCTCAAATATTGTCCTATACTCAATGAATATTGAATAATACATAAACCCTAGGCACAGGCAGTCAACAATCAGAGCAACAACAAAACTTTACGAACCGTTAGAAGCTACTGAGAATGTATTAAATGATTTCACAAGAATGAAATCTTCAGCATGGATTTAAAACACAATTGAAGCTACCGAGGATGTATTTACCTCAACTGGACATAAAACACAGAGAAAGGAGGCAAAGCAAAACCCAAAAAATTAATAGGGAAGAATGTGCCGCATATTTAACGCAGGAATCAAGCGTGTCCCAAAAGCTCCAGTTACTAAAAGAGTCAACAAAAACTTCATACGCCGTGCTACGCAGAGTTTGTGAGTTACGTGAAATTCTACAACCCACCATGTTCCACTAAATTGAATCCCTGTAGACTCGTGTACACTTTACCGTTTGATGAGTCCACCACCACCACCGCTTATACTACTACCACCAACACCACACATGATTGCTCGCCACCATTTCGGATATTGGAAGTTTGAAACTAATAAAAACGCCCATAAATCAGATCACTAAGGTATCGTTTGGTAAACATGATTGGATTGGATTGGAATGGATAAGACACTATTTTTAAAGGTATGCTGAAAAACGAAATGAAACAATTGTGAGCAATTTAGAGGTAGGAGAAGGATTACTCAAGAAGAAAAGTATTCCATTCCAATCCTTCCCAAAATGGGAGGATTAGATGGGAAAAGTTTTCTTTATGTCTCCTCTTCTAATCCCCAGGCCTCACAATGAAAAATCATTCTCATCTACCTTCAATATGCCTTGAAATTCGAGGGTTATCCCTTTCAATCTAATCCTTTCTACCAAAATGAGCCCTAAAATGCTCATGAGAATCCATACAAGTCTATTACAATCCACTACAATCTATGATAAAAGTTTGTCACAATAAAATCCATATAGAATTCACTCAAAGTCCATGTGGAGTCCATGAAAGTCAATTGAACTCCGTCAAAATCCTTTTAAAATCTCAACTGAATACACCCGCTAAACCTAGGGGTTGGTCAGTGCCGAGTTGTCCCCTCCTCACAAATTGTTTCAACCTATGAATTATGCGTGTTCTATCTTAACTAATGAATGAATTGAGAAAGCATAACATAGTTCCTAAGCAAAACATAATTAAACCATAGTAAATCCTAAAATTGGAAACCTTAATCAGATCAACAAAACCCCAGGACACAAAATGAAGCAGATTATAAGAAATTTACCTCGAACGCGGCAGGATTGAAGTTGGGATCAGAAGGGTCAACGGCGGTGCAATCAGGCGGCGATTCGAAGAGGGAGAGAGAAAACTGCTTGTCAACGACGCCGACATCGAAATAAATGAGGCCGGAGCTGGGCACATCGACTCTGATCCCCTTGACCGGAAACCAGAGGAAGAGCTCCTGAGCCGACACGCCCGATAAGTTGGCGATTCGGCCGAAAGACAGAAAGCCGGAAACGTTAAAATCGTAGAGCACCTGGTTCTCGAACTTGGCGTGACAGGGCTGCTCCAGCAACACTCGGAATTCTCCGGTGGTGGCGTTGAGAGAATAGTCGGTGATGCCCTTGGGGAGGAGACCAATCGGCAGGCCCTGTTTCCGCAGGTGGTCGTAGATGCTGGACGACGGAGTTCCGCTGGCGGGGAGGGGGAGGAGGAACGCAACTACGACAAGGCAGAGGATCGAGACCCATATTTCAGAATTTAGGGATTTTGGAAAAGAACCCATCTTTCCTTCTTACCCCTTGTTCTGTGATTCCGGGTGAGATAGAGGAGAGAGAGAGCTTCTGTTTGTGTTTGTTGATTGGTTCTGATTGTTTAAGGTTTTGAGGGGTTTTTTTATTTTTTTATATTTTTTTTAAAAAACTAATAAAAAAAAGTTTGAAAATTTTGAGTTTTAACGATAAGGACAAAATAAATGATAAAATAAATAATACTAGGTTTGACTTTTTAATATAAAAATATAAATTTTTTATTAAAATGAACACTACCGTTGATTTTTCGTTAAAACAACCTTTGTATTTTTGTGAGAGGGGGAAGTTAAAAGAATGCAGGCTGGAATGGATTGTTATTTGGGTTTATTGGTTAAATGGACTTTCACCACCGTAATACAAGAAGAAGCCAACCTCCTAATTAGTTTTCATCATTAACAAACACAACAAAGAAAAATGATTTCACTAACAAATAACAAATTATTTTGGCGTGTGAAAAGGAATTTATGAAACATAATTTCTCATGACTTTTCCTGAAGAATATAAAATAATTTTACTATTACCATGTTTTGTAAAAATAGAAAAGTGTACATAAAAAAAATCTCGAGACGAGTTAATATTTTTATTTTTGTGGTATTTAATGAAAATAATATTTGTCGTAAAGACTTGTGATTAATGTTAAAAATCTGCAATAAAAGACGGGAAAGAAAGTGATTTCCCATTTCCATGCTCTATTTCCAACATACCAAACACAAGCAGGTGTATCGGGAAGAAAAATGGTGTGGAGATCACTTGTGAAAACGTAAAATAAGAAACTTTCAATTTGATTGTACTGAAAACTTCCAACAAACACAACACATGAACAAGATGATACATAAGAAGAAACCTTTGGCAGCCGCACATCGTCGAATAGCTGTATTCAACAACTGGAAAACAACAATGATGTAGTTTATTCAGATTTCTAAAACCTAAGTTTACATAAAATGCAAAATCAAAAGGTGACAGTCTCAATCACCAAGTCTTCCCTTTAACTTGTTCTGAAGCGGTTAGCCTCTGCTATGTTATCGACTCAACAAAACCCTCGAGATACTTCATCTTCTCAAAATTCTAGTCCTCCACCTGTGGACATGAAAACCAATCATCTAACGCGTATGATTTCAACTGAAGTCCAAAATGATTCCATAACATTGAAGGAAATCACACACATGCAATGAAATATTTACCACCCAAATATATATATATATGAAAGCAAAATAAAATACGCCATTCTTTTGGCTTAAAATATCATGTGTATAAGACTAAGGCTAAGAATTCACCTAGCTAACAAACAGGAAGTCGTATAAAATGATTAAACGACCGGCATAGTTTCAATGAACACAACTTGGGCAAAGAAATATTATTTATTAGAAATGGATAGGCTTCTATACATAAGTTTATATATGTGTATGACTATGGTTCCCATCACTATACTCAATCATGGTTTTCTTCCAGTCTTGCTTTTCCTTTCCTCAAGCATAATAGTCTACGGTGTAACAGTGATAATATTCACCAGAGTTCAGAGTGCCACCGTCACACAGTTTCTCCTTCCAATGTCCTAACCCACTCAATGTTCCATACAATAGTACATGCCACCCAATGTATTATACTATCAGATTGTGTATCAACAACCACTTTCCCCAAAAAAAGTCTGACTTCGACCAACAACGTGCAATTTTGCTACAACACTCCATACACATAGTTATTGCTACTCTACAAGGCAATAACAATTTTTCTCAGTAACCACATCAGAGCTTTAAACCAATACAAAAACATACCATGCAAAAAAGGGAGAGGGGAAAGACAATATCAAACAACAAAGTAACAAACACTGTATGATATAAGCTTAAGGTTATAAGTTTGTGAAAGAATCACCTGTCTAATGCTCCAATTTAACTAGTGGTTCAGATCACTACTTTCCTTTTTTCTTCGATTTTACAGGTACCACCCCATATGCCATGAGCCTAGAAGCTGGTAATTTTCTTGCAGCTTGGTGACGCCTTCTTCTAGCACTCCTCGATTCTTTTTTACCACCATTTGAGTCCCCTACTTGTTCTTTCCCATGTTCCAGGGCACTCATTGATGATTGCCCTGTGGCAACCTTTGATAAGCTTGAATCCTTAGCTGCATCACTTATTCTCAGCTTCTTGCGATTCTTTTTATTACCCACATTTCCTTGTCTGAAAATCTCTTTAGCTTTCTGCTTTATCTCCATTCTCTTGTTGTTGGGTACCTTCCACTCTTTCTCTGTGTAAGGAGCAAGCTTCTTTAAAGACACATATTGATTCAACTCCTTTTCATCCATCGCTAATATCTCGGCAGTAGTCAAGCCATATCTATTAGGTTTTATTTTAGCATACTTGAATCTTGTCTTCAAGTCTCCAATTGTATCCTCATAATCCAACTTATAGTACTCATCCATCATCTCCTTCTTAGCTCTCTCCAATAAAGCTAATTTACGCTTTTTCCCTTGTTTATCTTCCTCACTCATTTCTTCTTCTTCTTCTTCCTCTTCCTTTTCTTTTACTTCCTCCTCCTCCTCCTCCTCCTCCTCCTCTTCCTCTTCCTCTTCCTCTTCCTCTTCCTCTTCCTCATGGTCAAAAACATTTTCCTTTTTCCGCTTCAAAACCTTCTCCCTGGCAGCTAAGAACCCATCACTAGACCCAACAGTATCCCAACCTTTAGGAAGCCCAAGCAACTCATCCTCCTTATCAAAGTCCGGTTTCTCAATCTCATCATCCTCCTCCATATCACTATAACGCTCTAAGTCAGCATCCTCTGCCTGATAATACTCCTCACCAAAAGCCTTCTTCATCATCCGATCATATTCTTGGGGATCATATTCCTTCTCCAACTCCTTTGGATCAAATGTAGACTCCTCGCCCTCCTTAAGCCCCGCAATCTCCATTATCTTCTTAACCTTCTCGTCGTTCTCCTTCTTCTTCAAATTCTTCAAATGCCTCAACTCCTCCTCCCTCTCCAACCTTGCAATCTCCATCCTCTCCTCCTTGCTCTTCCTCTGCTCCTTCCTCGCCTTGACCTTCTTCCTCACCGACCCCTCAACTTGCCTGGAATGCCCCATAATCCGATCACCTGCATTCTCCTGGAACCTGTACTCATACTCCTCCTGCCTTTCGATCTCCATCTCGTCCTCGGACACCATCTCCAAATCCTCCTCCTTTAGCTCGGGATCCTTATCCTCCTTCCACAGCTGATCCTTAAAGAACTTCTTGAGAAACATAGCATTTTCATCCGATTCAGGGAAACACTCATCCAATGCCTTCTCATACTGATCATTATCAACAGTATCATCATCATCATCATCATCATCCCCCGCAGCATTCTTATTCTTCTCTATCAAAAACTCACCATCATCATCATCATCATCCTCCTCGGCTGCAGCGGCCTGTAAGAATTCTCTCCTTATCCGCTCTTGCTCTTCGTTGTAAACCTTACTGTTTTTATCAATGTTCTTGTCATCCTCCTCCGCCAGTTCCGGGCCATCCTCCATCAAATGCTTAGCATTAACATCTTTCAAGTACATCTTCTTCTTATTCTTTGCCTTTCCCTCTCCTCCATTGTTTCCAATAATTTCGGTTCCATCAGAATTAAACAAAACAACATCTTTGTTTTTCAAGATAGGGTCTTGCTTTTTTACCTTGAGCAGACCATCCAAAAATTCCAATTCCCTCTTCTTGGAATTCGCCACATGGACATAGTCGTCGTCCGATTCAAAATCTGGTTCAGAGTCTGAATCTTCGGAGGGGTCAGCCACGAGGCCTCGCTTCTTCAGTTCCTCGTAGCGTTGGAGCTCCTCCCGCTTCTTGTTGTGTTCGTACCTGCGAGCGAAATCTTCATTGATTTTGAGCTGCGGAACGTCGTCGTTTCCGTTTTCGTTCTCGGAGTCGCTTCCGCTGTCGAGTAGTTGAAGCCCGCCCATATTGTTTCCGCCGACTATCTGAGTGGCTGCTGCTTCTTCTTCCTCAATTAATTTCTATCTGAGTCGCTGCTGCTTCTTTTTCTTCAATTAATTTGGGGGCTGAGGCGGTGGCGGGGGTTTTTAGTATTTAGGGTTTCAGAGCATTCGACTCCACAAGCTTTGCTTCTGCTTGGAACTTGAAAAGGACTCCCCTTTTATATATTTTTTTTTATTTAGGACCGAAAATTATAAATTCCACTCGTTTCTTATTTTTGTTTTAAACTTTTGCTGGAGGCAAAATGAAAATCACTTTTATTTCTTCTCAAGGCATCTTAAGTGGAAATTTTAAAACACTTAGTACTACAATGTAGTGGTATTTCTGTTTACTTAAAATGAGAGATTTTAAGTTCGATTCTTCCAAATGCGAATTTGAATCACATTATTTCTAAACCATTGTGAGCTCGATTCTCACCAAAGACAAATCTGAACCACATTATTGTTAATTCATTGTTATGCCCATCCTTTTTTCTAGATAATATCGCTTTTTCAAAAAAAAAATTGAAATTTTAAAAAATTTTACTCGAAATCTCAAAAACCTATACAATCGTCCTTATGTTCCTAGCTTTGGAAAAAAAATAATTCTAATAATGCATATTATGACAGTTGGTATATTGGGTTATATTCCTGCAATTCAAAATAAATAGGATAGAGAAATCTGAAAAATAAGATGGAGAAATCTGAAATCATGTTAATAAAAGAAGGTAAACAAACTCGGTAGGAAGAGGGAGGAGGGTCAGGGCGGTTAGTATTGTTCCGACTTCCTAGTACGAAAAGATTTACAAAGCCGAAGACGTACAACCTCAGCAGCATCACACATTACCAACAGCATACATATTACGGCCTCGGCAAAATAATCTCTAAAAAATAAGGTGTTTTTAGCAGCATTACATTCCGCTAAGGTCCTAAAATCCTTCTTGGCATAATTTAGAAACGCACACAAGTATACTCAAGTATGTCCATCCTGAAACTTCTTTACTGCGTAGTCACGCTCTTCGCAAGATTCCGCGGCTGATCCACGTTAAAACCTCTTAAAACAGTGAGATGGTATGCCAACAGCTGCACCAGGAAGGAAAACAAAGAT